CCACAGCTTTGTATTCGTAAGAGGATTAAATGTTAGTCATAATCCTTGGGCTTGAACTCTGCGCCGAAAAACAAATGACTTCTCACTTGTCACACAGTTGGCTTGGCATTTCCCCCTCCCGGAAAACCCCATTTTCCAGTTGCCTTTGGTCGCCAGGCAGTCAATATTGTGAACCAGAGCGACAACCTTGTCGACAAGCACTTGACACCAGCAAGTTAGACGCTTAATGTTCATACATACGTACTGAGTGTGTAACAAGACTTTCCCCATTTCCCTAGTCTGCCGTTTTCCGACCTTCTTGTCGTCATGCTTAACGCTTATTTTATAGTAATATATGCCCCCACCACACAGAGCTTAAGGCGATATTGGGGCAAGGGAATAGACTAGAGCACCGGAAGTACGCACACTCAAGGCTCTACTACTCACTCCATCCCGACAGCTCATATCTATCTTTATTCCATGGACTTTTTGTGTATTCGCTTAAGCGACACTTTGACATTGATTGCGCTCTGTGAGCCCGATTCCCGATTCGTGTGTCAGCCTGGCCAATGAGCCACTTAGTCAGCTTTGTGAAATGGCTATAGGGGCAAATGATAGGAAGAATTCAGCAAAAACGGCTATTTATTTAATAACAAATTTAAAAAGAAATTTTTAAATACTAAGTAACAAATATTGAGCTTTGCAGATATATCCTTGAAATAGAAAAACGTAAATATTATAGTATATAAAATTTGTATTAAAGGCCTGTTTCCATTTGTTTGATTTTAAACTCAGTATTCTTATTGTAAATGTTTATTTTATCCAAAGTATATATAATAAAATAAATCAAATATATGAGAAATCTTTAAGCAATAAATAACAATATTTTTTGCAAAACTCTTCGTTTATTTTATTGAATTTCTCACTGACCCACTTTCGCATTCATAGGAAATCCTTTAAACGTGTGTCAGCTCCGAAGAAGCCTAGAGCCCCGATTCCTTGTCTGCCCATCGCTTTGGCAGACTGTTGCATATTTATCTAAGATGTGACAGCCAGGCTTGTATCCTTCGACATGTCCTGGCTTCCCTTTTGTGCTTCCTGCTTTCCGGAGGTTGACTTTGACCCCGGACCGTCTTATGTTTGCCCAGATTGTGATTGTGACCATCCCAGCGAGATGTTTGATAATGACAGTGAAATATTGAAATGCAGACACGCTGTTTCCGTTTTGCTTGTTTTCTACCGCTTTGCTTATTCATGACTATGCAATGCAGTTCGGTGCTCGTTTTATGCTCGGCCAACATGTCGTATGTGCAATGTGCATTTTAATCTCTCGTACATTCGAACAAAACGGAACGAGAACAGCACTCGGCCATTAGCCGGATGAGGCGTCACGGCCTTTCTGTGGCATCCTTGTCTCAATATTGATGGTCGTCGGGCCAAGTCAAATTCAATTACCAGGATCGAGCTGCGTATTCCGGAAGCTGTCTCCTTTGTCTGTCGGCCTCAATGGATTTGCCCTTCTAAAAATAGCCAATACACTCGTTGCCTGGCATCCTGGCGCATTCAGTATTTGGTATTTGGACCTGGCTCTCGAGGGGGACTTTTATCCGGATCCCTGTTATGCAGTGTGCGTGTTTGTGTGTGTGTGTTTTAGCGTTGGGTGTGCTGTGGCGAATAATACGCTTCCAGGACCTTCGCACATAACGTATACGCAACGCTGGCATACGCATCATTAAAAATTCAGCAAGTGTAAATTAAAAAGAGCCACACAAGACGTCGCCAGCCAGCACGTAGTGGCACCTCTTTTTCTTCCCATTGCGTCCCTGATATTTTCAATAAGAGCAACGTGAGGTCAATACAATAACATTGGAATCGAGAATTAACAAGACAAAAATAATTGCTTACCTTCCGTAAGAAAGTAATAACACAATTTCTTACAAGTTGAAGTGAACTCAAATGCTTATCAAATATATATAAAATATATAAATAGTTTACTTTTGCTGGTACCTTTCATTTCATTTCATATTCCATTTCGTATTAGTGTTGAAGCTCTCCAAGTTTTTTTCTAGCAATTTCAAATTTTGAAAAAACTTTTCTCTGGCGCTACACTGTGCTGCAAGAATCCGAGACGATGAGTCAGGTGGCAGCTTCAAATGCTTAATTACATTTTCCACGCACGCAGTGGGGCATCAGTTTTGCACATGCGATGCATCCATCACAGGGACGCAGGATATTGGGAGGGGGAGGGGAAGAGCTGGGAAGGATTCCCATCTTCTAAGCAGCGCCAGCCGAGCGCAATTGATGCTGTGCTGTCATAGCTATCGCGTGTCCTTAGTCCTGCTGTCAGTCAGCCGGTTAGCGAGATCGCGGATACACGCGTGCACTGAACAAAAAATAAGTTAAAATACAAAAAAAATATATACATATATCAGAAATAAAGAAATGTGTATTATCGGAAACTGAAATATCATAAATATCTAAGGAAGCAGGAAGGTTTGAAGAGTAATAAGCTTACTCATGGATTTAAAATGCTAATATTTTGTTTATATTTTTTTCCGTGTTCGCCATATCCCTGGCGTAACTTTATGACATTTTCAATTTTGTGCTGTTTTTTCCATTTGCACCTACGCTCGCTGGGTAAAAGCGCTTTTGTCAGCAGTGCCGGAAGGCGTCTTGGCGAGTGTATGTGTGTGATGTGCGAGTGTGTGTGTAACACTCATGACAAGTCGATAAAACAGTTGGTCCTTGCATACCAGAATTCCCCTTCCCTCCACTCCGCCATCCCCTTGCCAATCAAGCATCTCCTTTGTCCTTTTCTGGGCCGCAACAGTTAAACTGTCATTGTCATTTAAATATCTTTTGACTCTTACTGTTACTGTTGCTCACATGCCCACGCAAATACACACATACATACACTCCGGCACACACACACACACGTGGTCCGAACTATTCAGCGAAATTAAATTGAAAACGGAGAACTGTGCCTTTTGTTCAAAAGCCGTCGAGAACCTCACTCGAATGCACCCACCTGAATGCCAGTAACAGGTAACAGGTGGCTCTGCCGAAGACAGGTAGCAAAAAACCAGTGCTGGGAAAGGATTCACTTTTTTAGCTGGGTAATAGCTGATATAAATACCATCAGTCATGCGGATTTCAGCAACTCAATAGCGAGAATTCAATAAAAAGTTGTGAAACACTATTTCCGTATATTATTATGCCAACCCTTGTTAAAAAACTTTCAATAAAATCATTTTCCTCAGAAGTTATTTTAACCCGGCAAAAAGTTCCCATCACTGCCAACGCCTACATGCAACAGGCCACATTTGATGAAGTTTATTTATAGGTCCATAATGAAATTCTGTTGTTTCCGAAGCAACAGCATAGTGATGCAAAAAACAAAACGATATTAATGAATGCAATTTTGCTACCCATAAAAAGGTGTTTAAAAAAGCTGTTGGTTCGTTATGCACGGAAATGGAACATAAAATATTTTTTATGAATTTATTTTGTTGTGGAAGCGGACCCCGGAATTTTTATACAAATACAATATTATTTTATATGTATAGTTATCAAAGTAAAAGTTTAAAGAAAAAATGCAAATATGAAGTAATTTTTATATGTTCTTCCATACAAATACATTGTTTGTTTTTTACCAGGCTTACAATTTTTATGAAATTGTGAAGCACAGAAAAGTTGAAAGATATTATTTTAAAATAAATGCATATTGCGCAAAATGTATTGTTATTTTTTACGCTTATATAAGCGCCGTGAAAACTCATGCTTGCCAATTTAATTTATCATTCGAATTGTTAAGTTTTAATTTATTTGTTGACACATTTACTAACCAATTACCCACAATCTGTGTCGGCTAATAATATGACATTATGGTTTTATTGAACGAACGTGGCAGTTTGGTTTGGCAAAGGCTTGAATTTATTGGGTCTTTCATCCTGGTAGTTAAGCGCAAATGTTTGCTGTGTACACACACTTTCACCCTTGCACCAAAGTTTTACCTACACATATCTAAAATCCGAACTAAGTGCGGAGCGTGAATTTCTGCGTTTGTTGCCACCGCAATCCACACATTCTAGTATACTATATGTACTCACGTAATCGAGCGTATGGACATTTGTATGGTTTAAAGGGGGCATGCCCCTCGATGTGCAGAGGTGTGTGCAACATGCCGATGTGTTCAATATTCAATTAATCATGTCGTGTGTTTATGGCTTATGCAGCATGTTGGCTGAAAAACTGGGTCACCACCGGATGGATTTTGATTCTTGCCGATTTAATATTTTGACATAATTGAAAAGTACGAAACAAAGCCGATTTCTGAATTTCATTTGCATTTCTTCTGATGCCCTTACGTTTTATTTGGTTTCTAATCTTATTACTTCTGTTGCAGAATTTTATTGGAATTGAAATTGTTATTATTTTTTCTACTAGTTTAAGTAATAAAATATTATTACGTTTCTTTATTACTATTACGTTTCTATCCTCAAAACCAGACTGTATAAAATGGCAATGCAAATTAAGTAACTCGAGAAACATAAATCCCTGAAGTATGCAACGAAATTTAACCATCGACTGCGGGCGTTGCAGCACATTGAGAAATTTTAATTGGCAGTTGGTAGAGCAGGAAAAACTTGGTGAAAGCCAGAGGCTAAGATCTACCAACCGGGATTTGAACACTGCGTTTTGGGGCAGAATTTCAATTTGCATAAGCATTAACTTTCAGAATATTGACGGAAAAACATTTTCGTTATTTTACAGGTATCGATTGGCCAAACCGGCAGGATGATGCGCATTTGGGCCACAAAGCAACACAAAATTAAAATCAAATTTTAGGGCAAACCGAAAGGCGCCGACAGGCAGCTCGTAATTCCGGAATTATAAAGTCAGCCTCGAACATTCGATTCGAATTTCGAACTTCGACCCCGCGGCCGTTTTCCCTTTATTTGCATACGCACACGCACATCCGTGGGATACAAATCGAATCTGGAATTGCAGTGTCCCCGTTTGGAAATCGGTGTAGCATGTCAAGTGGACGCAGTGCCCGCCTCCCTGCCACGCCCACCCAGACCGCCAACAACAAGCACAGGGCGGCAGCAGCAGCGGCGGCGGCGGCGGCAGCAGCAGTAGTTGCCGCCGGGGAGCCCAACAGCAACAGCATGTTGCAGTACGGCAGCAACAGCAGCAGCAGTGGCACGGCGCCGACCACAGCAGCCGCAGCATCTGCTGCCTCTGCCGGCATGGGAATGGGAGTGGGCGTAGTCGGGGGCGGCATGGCCAGCGGCATGGGAATGGGCGTGGTGGGTGGCATGGGCATGAGCATGGGCGGTGGCATGGCGCCGTACAGCTTCCACGGATCAACAATGGGCAGCAGTTGCGAGTCGAGCGTGGAGCGCATCCCCGTGGACACCATCGATGCACTGGGTCCCGAATTGGCGGTGGCCACTTCCCAGGTGCTGGAGAATCTGTCCGAGAACGAGCGCAAGATGATCATCGAGGTGCTCAATCGGGACGAGTCCGTGCGACAGAGGGATGCCACCAGAATGATGTAAGTGATTGTCAAGTTTATTTGTAACTTTTATTAACTTAAAAGTGCCCTTCGGTGAGTGGGAAATGCCAGGAAACTTGGAGATATTTTTAAGTATTTACTTAACTTAGAAAGACTAAATTAAAATGTTATGTCTAAAATAAATTATACATTTTCAATTGATTTTATCAGGTTGCTATAAATATGTTTTGGTTAAAATTATGTGAACCATAGATTTTAAAGTATTTTAAATTTATTTTCCAAACAAAGTATTGAAAGCTGTTTTAGTGACAGTTTAACGAATTTATACTGATAAAAGTTTTTTGCTTACTACACTTGCCACCTTATCCCTTATCAAAATCAAGAGTTAATCTTCTGTGTTCCTATTCAGATGTTCATTTTGTATGCAAACAGTTTTCTGACAATGTAGCCAAATTTGCAACCCAGAATTTGTGGCAAACATGTTCACTGACTAGCTTATTTTTTGCTCGGTCAGCAACGAAAATGTCGCATTTCCCTCCACCGAAGGACGCTTTCATCTGATTTTCTCTCCTGCCCCTATGTAATTTCGTAAGTTAAATCGAAACTCGTCACAGAGCCGAGCTGTCTTACTGCACTTTTGCAACTAACTAAGTCAGGTGTTTCCATCTCCTTAACCTTTTCGCCGGTTTTCCTCTGCTTTCTTAATTAAACGTGCCAAGAAGACAGAAGTTTTTTGGCAGACAATGCACCTGCTTTTGCCACTCGATGCAGATGCTAATGCACTTGGAACAAGCTTTTTATTGACCTAGAAAAAAAGAAGAAGGAAAGAACAATGCCATTGCCGAGTGGCTTTTTCCTGCGGAAACGCACGTATCGCACATTTGCAGACCGCAATTTATGGCTCGACATTTTGCGGTGGCTCGGCTTCGGTCTATGTTCCTCCTTCTCCGGACTCCGGAGTTCTTCTCCTCGTATTGGGATAGATACCCGTGCACGTATGGTATGCTGGGACTCACCTAGCGGTTCTCCGACGACAAATCACGCGCGTCTGCCTTTGGCGTTCATCCAGTCACCCAGTCTGTTAGTCCCTGCAGGATTGCCATTGCCAGCCGGCTGTTCCAAATTGATATCCGCGGAAAATTGTTCACATTTTTGGGGGACGGTGTCTTATTGTTACACGAATTTACAGGGGAAACCCATTTAAAGAATTTAAATATATAAAAGATTTCAGGGAATTAAAACTTCTTTATAAAAATCGAAAGTAGTTTTCATCTTTCGATTGGCTTTTATTTATTGATAATCTTTCAAGTGTATAAAAACCTTTTCCACTCCACTGCAGCTATAGTTTGCCGAGTGAGCTTCTACTGTACCGAACAGAATCCCTTTTTTTTCCCGAGGAACGAATTTCCCCATTCAACTGGATTTTCCCCTGCCTGCATTTCAATTTCTTGGGCATCCACTCGAGCGAGTGTATTTCGTGACCCTGGGTGGTGTATTGTTTGTTGTTCTAGTTCCAGGGCTTTTCCACCCGCTTTTAATGCGTCGTTAGCCGGAGGGGAACAGGTGGGGTAGAAATGGTGGACCGTAGCGAGTTTTATGCTGCATTGGCATTCAAATAACTGAAAAGTGTTTTCATTGTCACGCCAACGCTGCCACAAAATGGAAAGCAATTTTATTGTCCTCCTTTTCTCTTTTCTCTCGAGCGACATTCGTTGACAGTGCTCTTCGTACACGTTTTCGCTTTTAGACAATTATTTTTAAGGCCTACGAATCGATACAATGCGTTCGGTTTACCATTTTCCATTTACCATTTACCATTACGACATTTCAAGCCTTAAAGCATTGAAGCTGCCACTTTTTATGTCATATTTAAAATTGGCAGTAATGACTACCAAATAAAAGAATATTAACATGCATTGAAATCTGTCAACTTTGTTGATTTATGGGAAAAAAACAATTTGTTTCCTTGTCCACGAAAATTGTATTTTAATAACCGATGAAAGGAGATGATATATGTCTCCTTTGTAAGAAAAAATTTTATAAATTACCCTTAGAGAAAAAAATCGATTCCCACTTTCCTGCTGCATAATTAATTAATTTTATGATGTATTACGCAATGCAATCACAGCAAGGCACTAAAAATTTATGAGGGTCATTAATGACTCCTTGTGCTTTGGCGACTTGAATCGCATGAGAGTACTTGTGCCTTTCCCCTTACTTAGTACACTTTAATGACGGTTTTTTGCGGCCAACATATAAACATATAAACGATTCCGTTGGCCTTGCCGGCTCAAGTAATCTAAACACATAAATCCCTTCCGCCGGCAACAAAGTTGGCTGCTCCCACTCCCCCGCGTTCGATTCCTTTCGTTAACTTGGCTCATTTGGCGGGTGTTGCGCCTTTCGGTCGCCCCTGATTGCTTAATCATGTCGGCCACCGTTGGGGCGGAAATGGCTAAATTGAAAAGCGCCATTGGAGATTGGCAACAGGCGAAAGGAAACGACTGTCGAGCGACGGGTCACACATGTGGCAGGTCCTGCGATGTCCTTCCTTTATACTTTTTACCCGTGGGTGGACATCGATCCAGCTGGGACAAAAATTGATGAAAGCATAGCCATTAAGCCAACTAAGTCTATCGCTTTGTGAATACGTATGTGTAATATGGTGGGTTGGATCCTTACAAAGGATTTTGGTAATGTGAAACCTATGCAAAAAGGTCTGTAAATTCAAAGAATTTCATAGCCTTATTAACGCAATTTTATATCATGTAAATCCAGGAAAATCATTTAAGTAATTCTTATCACAAAGTAGAAGATTACATATGTATATTTTTGATGTGAAATCTAAATTCTTTTCGTAAAACCATTAAACCTGTTTTAGAATTTTAAACTACAAAAATAACTAAATTGTTTGCTGCTACTTTTTCAAAGATAATAATCCTTAAAGGGCGCAGGGATGGGCCATTAGCCAAAGTACCCACGAACACTTGGCAATCAATCTGCGAACCGTTTGGCTTCTGGCAAGTAAACGTGGAAATCAACGTGTGCTTTTAGAGCGCTGATATCCTGCTCCCTAGACGGTCGTCTATCTAGCCTTCTCATCTCCTTCGGCTTCGACGATTTCATTTCCCGCTTGTCGCTGCAAAGGCACCGATATCCTTGACATCCTGCGAGTGCAATTTGTGTTAGCTGAGCGGCATAATAAGCTCAGCATTCAGCGAAAGCTGTTTGCTTTGAGGATTGTACTTCACTTTTAGATTAGGCATGTTTGCTATACTCTGATATAAATATACTTAGGAAACTAACTAATAAAATATTATAAAGCCATTCCACTTTGATAAGCTCAAAGTGCAACAATATTTTTTAATATTTTCACAAAATAAGCAAGAATAACTGCTATGTTCCAAGAATTCCCCTCAAAGTTAAATTTATTGTGAAATTTAAATGGACGCAGCATGGCAGCAACAACACACTTACTTCATTTCCGTTAACAAACACTCTTGCACAGAGAGTAAATACAGACACAAACGAACTGGGAGGCAGGTTCTAGATGAGAGGGGAGAGGGGGGACCGGGGGAGTACACATTCATCTAGCTAATAACACTGATAATGTTGGTAATACTTGTTGAGTAAATTAAATCTAATGGAGCGCTCGTTCATCATTCGCCGGCAGAGGGAACTTAATTAAATGTTCTCCCAACAAATGTTAGCCGCATTCGACTTCCTCGATATATAAAGGGCAATATACACAGAAAGACTTGTAAAATAAATAATGAATACCATTGTGAGATGTTTCGCAATATTTCCGATTTAATACTATCAATTATTGTTAATGATATTAGAGTTAAGTATCATTATCAGAGAAATTTAAACCATGATTGGTTTTATACTTCTGACCTAAACTAAATTAACCTTTTGTTGTTTTAAACATTTAAATAAAACTCTGTTAAAAGTAATCTTGGTATTCTTTTTGTTGCCAAATGAAATTGCTTTGATTAAACCTATCACAAATAAGGCAAAGTCAGCAGAAAATTATTTTTGCACCGCAAGACGTTTTGAGGTTTTATATTTGATTTTCATTTTGAGGTTTCGTATTTGATGTTCATGATTTGAATGTAAACTATAAATTTATCAAAAGCGTATGATGTTTTTCTTGTTTACTTTTGTGAAGATTTCGTATTAATTAAATTTTTTGTACACTTAGTTTTTCGGTGTGTATAGAGAGCAGTTCGGAGCCGTGGGCCAAACTACTTTGACTTGTTGCGCCGCAGAAGCTCTGGATGTTTGCCTTGTGCCGTTGCTTAGCCTTGGCTTTGTGCTATGTAGTCTGCAGTCTGTAGTCTGTAGTCTGTGTTCTGGCCTTAGCATTTGCCTTGATAATGTCGTTGATTACTTTTAATTATAATTCCGCTGCTAGGCTACGCCAGCGAATCGCTGCTCATCTGCTCATTTGGCGGGAGAACTTCGTTCCTTCCACTTTCCGGCGATGCGATGCCCATCAAAAATGAGCTGAAAACTTTTGCCCAGTCAGCTGAAGAGCCTGTGAAAGCCGCCAGTTACCATGGCTCTACACTTTTATTACACCTGGCTTTATGTGTTTTGTCATCAGCCAACTTAATTGGCCGCTTAACGCCCACTCATCGCCTGGGATCGGCTCATTAGATGACACCGGGTTTTCCCCGCCGACCTCGATGACCTCAGACTCGTTGGGTGGATTTTGTGGGGCGGTGGCGTCTTTGATTTCACTTCACCTGATACCAGCCGTATCCTGCAGCATCAGCAATTTAGATGTAAATTAGAACTAGGGACCCGCGGCGATTCCACTTCTACTTATAATTAACGCCACACATGGCATGTGTTTTTGCTCGGAATTTTAACAAACATTGGATGGATTAACAATGGCTGCGGGCCAGGAAAAATATTCCCAAAGCGCCCAGCCGCATGGCCGGCAATAATTAAATACACATTTAAAATGCTATCCAACAATTATGATATTTGTCAGTGCCGCATGTCAACCATTACTCCTCATTGTTGTAACT